TGTTCTGCCTTTTTGTTTTCCTCATTAAAAGGTCATAATTCAAAGGACTCCAGTGACTTCAATTTTATAAAAAGAACTTTATTTAAAAATAAACCAGAGCTGGCCAAATAGCTCAGCGGATTAAAACTCAGGGGCTGGGGGTTTGATCCCTGGGCCTGCCCATCCCTAGGATGCGCTGAGATGGAGATTGAGACTGGGTGTGGTGGCTTGCGCCTGTAATCCCAACAACTGAGAGGCTGTAAACAGGCAGATCACTACAAATCTGATCTAGTACTGAGACCCTGAACACCCTGTGGACCCTCCCTTCCCTAAAAATACAGAAAAACAACCCCCAAATCTGAACACTGCTATAAAACAGAAAGGTGGGCAGCAGTGTGGCTGGCTTGGACCCACTGTCTTTTGTAATCAAAGCTATCCCTTGGCTCTGCCATTCCTGGCGGGGCACAGCTGTCTTCTTTCACTCCCCAGAGATGCCAACTACAAGTGTGCGTTGGTTCCTCCGTTCAGTTTCTGGAAAAGCTCCATGACAGCAGCAGGAATTCTCCTGTGCTCACGTAGGCGACACCCACATAATGACATTGCTAATTGTGTCCTGCTGGCCGGGTGCTGCCGGGACCTTCGGTGTCTGAAAGTCTGCAGAAGCCTTTCTTAAAAATGTCACGATGGAGCTTGCACTCTGATGGAGCCGGCTCTCCAGTCTCACTGGGCAGGAAAAGGCAACCGGTAAATGTCATCCTTGGATCAGATTGACCAGAGCCCGGGGGAGTCAGGGCTCCCCCACGCTGGCTGCTGGCTTCTCGAAATCATTAACATTTCAGTGTGGGTGATCCTGTGAACCACTACCTTTCCTAGCCTTTTTCTGAACTCTTTAGCATTTTTTCACCTTTTCATTGAATTACAAACTAGTCTCTAGGAGAGCCACTATCGAGTTTCTTGTGTAGGTCACTTTCAGTGTACTGGAGCAGAGTTTTGCACTGTAGTTATAAATTCACTCCTCAGAGTGAAATTTAGATAATCCTGTGATGTAGTGGGTGGTGGGTGGCTGCCATTAATTCTTCAGAGAGGGAGGACTGCAGTAATTACAGTTTACCTTGTTTCAGTGGTCTGGTCCGTCCTTAGCAGGCCGAGGAGAACCACTTCTGTTTCTTAGCATTTTTATTTTCTTAGCTTTTGCTTTTTTGTTGTTTGATCCACGGCTGCTACCTCCAGATCTTTTTGCTAACATGAGTCTACTGCATTCCACAGCTTTGAACGACAGCTGCTGTGGGCCAGGGAATGTTTATAATTGGTATCACTGCCCTCTCACCCAAATACTTGTTTCAGCCTTTTCTTGATGGTAGTTTTCTGTTGCTGCCTGCATTTTGTTTCTAATTAAAGCCAAGTGTGGAAATGAGGAAGTGTGATTTGGGAACACGGGTTCCTACGGGATCATTGAGTTTGGTATTGCAGTGTGGTGGTCTTGGGTAACTTACTGTACAGTGTATCGGTGTAGCCCAATTCCTGCTCCAGTTCCATTACCCATATCACCATTGGATTTTGAGCCTACTTTTATCTGAGGATCCAACTTTGGCGTGAGCTTCACCTTCCAGTGACACCAGTTTCTGTGTTGCTCTTGTGAGTTAGGTGACCCAAGGAGAAGGCTGACCCTGAGCTGGCTGCTGTAAGGACTGAGTTATGGAGGAGAGCAGAGCAGGCCACCCGCCTCTCTCTCTCTCTCTCCCCCTCCCCTCTCCCCCTCCCCCTTCCTCACACCCTCACCCAAGATCGCAAAACCAAGCACCCACCACACGGTGCAGCAAAGGAGTCAAGGGGCCACTAGTGTGATTTCCACTGAAGAGCCTGGATCATAGACGGAGGTCCCTTTGGTCTGGGGTTGAAGATAATGTCAGCAGCCAAGTTCAACATGGCTCAGTCCTAATCATCCAGCTCCTGTCTGTTCACCCCAGCCATCGCTCAGCCCGGACTTGGAGACTCCAGGGTCTCTTCCCTAACTACCAGCCTGCAGAGTGACTTCTGGACATCTAGAGCTGGGTACAGAGCTTTGCTCCCCTGGGTGGCTTTCTGGAGAACCTTTCTCCCGAGTCACAGTGACCCCCGCCAGCTTCACAGCTGTGTGAGCCACAGGGGTGGGAGGCAAAGCAAAGAGGAGGGGCTGGTGTTCTGTGCCTCAGCTGGAGCCTCCTGTGGGTACCTTTCCCCAGGACTCCAGACCTGGGGGTCATCTTCACTTGCTTTTCACCTCAGTGTTGTTTGTTTGTTCTGGTGGTGGTGGTTTTTATCCAAGAACTTGCTTATGCATCTTCTTAAGAGAAAGCCTTGGCAATAAAAATGTTTCTCTTCACAAAGCTGCGAGAGTTCTGTTCATTTTGGGATTCATTAATTCTCCTGACCTTTTAACTAAACGGCACTTTGCACACTGAGGTGAGACAATTCATCCTAATGGGGAAAGAAGTGCTGCTCATTTAGGTGCGTGCATCTGAGCTGTCGCGGCCACGCAAGTTCCCCATTACCTTGAAGCTGCCAACATATAGAGCAAAAGAGTAAGAAGATAAGCAGACGTGTGAGCCAAGTCACCCTCAGAAACAGCAGTTTCCCTTCTTCCAGGCAAGTTAACTGTTTTATTCTTATTATTATCAACTACTCAGAAAAAGTACAGAACAATGTAAAGAACCTCACACATACCCAGCATTTAAAAAGGTGTCTGGCAAGCGTAAAGTGGTAAGTTTGATTTCTAGTCAAAAAAAAAAAAAAAAAAAAAAAAAAACCATGCCCAGTAAATGTCGCTCCTATTGTCATTATTACCAACAGCACAAATACAATGGCTAGAAAGTGGAATAGTCCTGTGGACATGGACTTGGCAAGACAGTGTGCCGCGGAGCATCTTCTAGGTACTGTGATCCTTTGCAGTGAAATTAGTGCACCTAGGCCAAAGCTGTTGGGATTGAAAACCAGCTTTCTCATCTCTAGTTCTGTGCCACAAGAAGAGATAAATAAATCTGAGGGTCACCCATTGCCTGATCAAGTGGGTGTGTCCCCTCCATGGCCTGTGTTTGGACCTAAAGTCAGAAGCATGTGCTCAGTGCATCAGGCACCCCTGAAGGGGTGTGTGTGTGTGTGTGTGTGTGTGTGTGTGTGTGTGTCTTGAAAGCAGTCACAGCGTCTCCAAGCAGCTGTCTGTGTTGTCTTCCATAACCTAGGGCCAGGTAGAGGAGCTGCCTCTGCTTCACAGGCCCTGCATTGTTGCCTACCTAAGAAGAGGTGGTAGAAGCAGGGAGGCTCTTTGATGCGGAGGAGAGATGTCTGTACTGCTGGCCTTGCTGATGCAGCACGGTGAGAGGCACCAGGGCAGGGTGGCTGGAACCCAGACCCCCAGCCACAAGACACACAAGGCAGGTTCTTGGAATGCGAATGGACTGGGATCCTAGACCAGACTGTGCCGCCCATCAAACACTTAACCTTGCATGTGTCAGTTGGTTTTGTATCTGTCTCTTCAGCTATAAAATGGGGTTGCTAATACCTTTAGAATTGCTGTGAGTTACAAGAAATACTGCTTTTAATAGTCAAGACAGTGCATGGTACATAGTAAGCACTCAGAAATAATAGTTTGTATTTGTCACAATTTTATCTCGCCATTCTGAGACTTTTTTGTTCAGTTTTTATTGAGTATATCACTTTTGCCTCTTTGTGGGGCAGAGCATTCTGATTCAGGACACATGTGCATTGCATGATGACCAACTCACAGCAGTGGCACCCTCCTCTCCTCAAGCATTCCCCGTCTTTATGCGCTGGCAACTCGAACCGCGAGTGCTGCCTTGGTCACACGGGCCCAGCACATTGCGAAGAGGGCTGGACGTGGTGTAGGTGGGGTGCCGCGCTGCCCGCCACACTGGGTCTGCAGGCTCCCATCTCTGGAGATCTTCCTGTGTTCCCATGGACCTCTAGGGCCTGGTCACCCATCGCTCTGGGCCTTGCCCTTTGAAGCCCAGAGGTGACGTGTTAAATACACTCTTGTGCCTATTACAGTTTTTCTTGCAGGAAAATGCATAAAGAACCTCCTCTTTTTTAGGGTTCCATATTATTTTATGGGGGGGAACTTATTTATCCTCTTATTGGTGGACTACTTTAAAACAGTGTGTTATTGCAAATTATGCTGCAGTGAGTAACCTTACGTACAACTTTGGGATATGAGTGTGTGTGTGTGTGTGTGTGTGTGTAGAGCTCAGGCCCTGAGAGCTGTGACCCTTAAGCCCAGGGCACAGGCCACGTGCATTTCGCATTTGTAGGCTTCACCAAGTGCCATTTTATGTGCACGCTGGCGAAGTCTAAGTGTGCTTGCTTCCCGTTCTGTGTATTTCCGTCCTTTTGTATCTTTGCCAAACTGTATGTAAAAAATAATATTTCAGGGCCAGGGAGATGGCTCAGTGGAATAAGTGCTTCCCTGGAAAGCACAAGGGTCTGAGTTCAATCCCCAGTTCCTGCAAAAAAAAAAAAAAAATAATAATAATAATAATAATATTTCAGAGTGCAGCTTTAATTTCTTTCACCATGCAGGATGTCAAGAGGCTTTTCATATGATTAAGAGCCACTCGTATTTCTTACTATAAATTGTCTGTTCTTATCTGATGCCGGTTTTCCTATGGAGTTGTTGGACTTTGCGCATTATTTGTAGTTCTTTTTTTTAATTAAAAAAATGAACTATTTGGGATATATATTACAATTTCCTCCCTGGATTGTTATTTATCTTTCAAAGCATAAAGCCCCAGTTTCCTAAAACTCTTCCCTGCATACCCTTTTCCATCTATGCCAGTCTGGGAGCCCCAGCCCTGGTCACCTTGGTGTCCCCAGCCCCGACACAGGGCCAGCACTTAAAAGCTCTCTTAGGGGCTGATGTTGAACTGAACTGAGTGTCTGACCTCCCTACCCCCACCCTTCCCTATGGCTTGGGAGTTCCAGTTCCTCCTCCACCAGAAAAAGATGACTTTTCTCATTGCTCACCACAGCCATGCACCTGTTTGGCCTAAACTGGCACCTGCAGCCGATGGAGGGGCAGATGTATGAGATCACGGAGGACACAGCCAGCAGCTGGCCTGTGCCAACGGACGTCTCCTTGTATCCCTCGGGGGGCACTGGCTTAGAGACCCCTGACAGGAAAGGCAAAGGAGCCGCAGAAGGTAGGGTTGCTGCGTTGTCCGTGTCGTGAGTCCTCTGTGTCTCCTTTGAGCCAAGGAGACCTCCATCACGTGCGTCCTGTGCCTGGCTCGCAGCTCCATGCTCTGGCGCTTGCTCCATCCTTCCACGCTCCACGCCAGCTGCACGTCTACTGTGTCTTCATTGCGGTTTCTTGTCATTGTGAGCTCGGAGTGGGGCTTGGGCAGATCTCATGGCGCTCACCAGTGTCCCATCCCATGCCTCGGGAGCATTCTGGGTGCTCAGTGTAAGGTGACCATCTTTGTGTGGGGTCAGATTGCCTTGGGGAGACTTCGAAGGATGAATGGGCATCACAGGAGTGAGGTGTGGCAGGAGCAGGTAGACCTCAGGGTCCAGGACTACACTTCCAGGCTCCCACTACAGTCATGTGACCTGGAGCAGCTCATGTGATTTCACCTGCAGTAATAACCGTAGTCATTAGTGTCTGCACAGCATGTCTGCTTCACAGCTTCTCATCAAGAGCACCTCATTCCCCATTTAATCCTCACAGAAATGTGAGGTAAGTGTGACTGTCTATGCCACTTCTAGATACAGAGGCTAAGAATCACGTTAAGAAAGGACTCAGCCAGAGTCCCACAACAGAAAACAGTGAGGAAAGTAAGCCCAGGCCTGCGACTCCAGACTTCTTGTTCAGCCCCTAAACTTTCCCACCTGAGGCAGCCCTCGGCCACATGACCGCGGCAGGGGTGCAGATGTGAAGTCCTGTCACGCATTGCGATGCAGAAGCTTCTTGCCATGACAGAAGCGATGATGGCAGTTAGAGGCTTGGCATTCGTCAGTGGGAACCAAAGACCTGGCTTCTGTGCCTGTGGGGGTGTTTCCCACATGCCATCACCACAGGGCCTTTCACTGTCCACCGAGAGTGGCACCAGATCGCCACAGCTGGCCATGGGAAAGATGTCTGAGCACACAGCCAGTCTGGAAGTCGTTCTGGACAGTATGGCCCTCTTGTCCCTCTGTCTGCTGCAGCTTGCACTGTCCCTGTGTCCTGCAGCCAGCAGAGTGGCCGTCCTCACCTGCAGCCTTAACTACATACACTGTCTTTCCTCTCATCTCGGTCATTCGCAGAGCCATGGAGCCTCTATCCTTTCAAGGATTTGCCTCTTAGCAGTCGCTTGGTTCACACGGTAGCAAGTGCTTGGTCATGCTGTCTTCTTGTGACCACTGAAACGATGATCCCATTAAGGGAAATGAGAAGTAAGGATACGGCCAGAGTCAAATCAGAGCCACTACCCTCTATTTTAAGGAACAAAGCTAGTCCTCTCCTTTGTCAAGATTTTAAGGCTTAAAACATTGACTAATTTATGCTTTCTTCACCCTTAATACAATATGGAGGGATGCAGCCTGCATGGTGCCATAATAACTGGTCTGAGGTAGGAGTTGGGAGTACTGAGTTTGAGTTCATGAATTACCCCTGACCTGTGGTACAAGGTCAAGAAAGTCCCCTGAAGGATGTCCTGGACTTCATTTTCAGTAGACTCTTGAATTACAACCAGTCTGCCATACAGACAGCTTGGGTTATGACCAGAATTTTAGTTCTAACTTATGACCAATGTCTTGAGTTATGTCCCAAATGCTGGCTGCTTGTGCCTCTAGATGGTCCGAGATACAGAATTAACCCTTACAGAGTTCTGGAAGGCACATTAGAGCACCCTTTCCTGTGTGGGTCCACTGTCTCTCTAAGGATGCTGAGATCTGCCTTTGTACAAGACAGCCTTCGAAACCCAAGTCTTCAATTGACAACTTGAGTCAAAACCAGCCCTCAAGAGTAAATGGAGTGAGTCCAGGCTCCATTGTGGCTCTTCTTCAAAATGGCATTCAACTAGATTCTCTAGAAGGGTCATCACAGTTTGTAAAGTCTGCATATGCAATTAGTAATAGAATCATCTTATAATTAACTGATGGAGCCTCGGGGTTTCTCCATGGTGGCCTTGTCCATGGTCCTGCCTGTTGGGCTGCTGTACTCACGTGTGGTCAGATGGCATACATGAAGAGCATGCAGGAAAGCCCATCTTTAAGTCAGTGTAGGCAAACATAGGTTTAAATATGTTTAACCCTGCAGAAGTTGGCAGAGGGCTTCACCTAGCAAAGTGCAGTCCCCTCAACCCCCGTGATCTCTCGCACACATTCTTTAAGCAGGAGCTGGATCCATCGGAAATCTCCCACTCGAATGAAATTAGTTTGTAGGTTGTTGAGGTTTTGTTTAGTTTTTCCCAAGGAGCTCAAGGTGCAGATAAGAGACAACGTAAAATTGTACCAGCTTATTGGTTTATTTTAATTGGAGTATTTTTGCTTAAAGGGATTATCCGTCATTACTGATGCAAATGGAAATCCTGTTTACAAATCCTTTAAATGCAGTGCAGCCCTGGAAGTGGTCAGCATAGAAGGAATTATTGTTAACAAAAAATACATCAGCCTCAAAGACAGAACCACGTGATTTGTGGGAGACGGCATGAGTCTTCATTTTCATTTTGTTCATTTTATTTTATTTTTTGTTCTGGTCAAGCCAATGTCTATTCAGTTTATATTTTTAACTGCAATGTTAAAAACTCTAATTCCTCAGCTTGCCTCGAAAGCCAACATCTCCCTTCCTGCTGCAAGTATGTGTGTCTTATCTCTTCAGGGGTATCAGGAAGGAGAGCTAATCTAGAACTAGCCTTGGGCCTTGGTCCACAGCGATGGGGAGCAGCGTGCCTGCTGGAGCCGGGCAGCCGTGCCTCGGCGTGAGATGCTCCCGGATCTGGTGCTTGGCCCTGCCTGCTGGCTCCGATATGTCACACCAGCTCTTCTGTCTCCTGTGGCCTTCGCTTTCTCATCTGTAGAATTAGGAAGATAACTCCCTTTCCGAAGTCACTGGCAAACACATGCCCATTCCTCTCTGCTGTACACTCAAATCCCCAGTTATTGCATCTTAGTTATTAAAATCGCAGAAGCTCAGACTAATTAATATGTACCCCGCATATCCTCCTAAGATTTGGGGTACTTTTTTAAAAAAAAGATTTATTTATGTATGAATATGTATGTATTTATTTGGCACAGAGTCTCATAGTGATCCTCCTGTCTCAGCCTTCCCAGTGCTGGGATTACTGGCATAAACCACCACACCCAGTTTCTGTGGCTAGCTCGGCACAGGCTGGCATGGCATGCGTACCGGGTACCAAACCTGGGCCCTTGTGCTTGCCAGACATGCGCTTAGACTGCTGAGCTGTCTCCCTGGCCCCAAGATTGGGGTACTTTTGAATATGTTTAAAGCACATATATTTTAATGATGCAAATTAAATATATGATAATCCTCCTATTGAAACTATTTCACATATCTTTGAGAAGAACATGAAAGCTACAATTCGCCTTGTGTTTTCTAGGTTGTCACAGGACAGAAACGCAATGTAGCAGGCTTTCAAAGCAAAGCCACAAGAATTTGTGCTGTTCATCAATGGGGAGGGGAGGCATTAAATAAACAAGCATGTCTGGTGGCTGAGTCGGTGGGCAAGGGACAGCATCTTCTTTCTGTGGTGAAATCAAAATGGCCTACTGCGCGCAGGCTCAGCTGGGCTCTCCAAAGTGGAACAGCTTATTTTGATAACCAAATAAATTTCGAACAGTTGCTAGGGAAACCAAGGGATTCTTTGTGCAAGTCATTGCCTTGAAAAGAACCAAAAAGGTAGAGAGAGGGGAAGATGGTTAGTTGATTAAAAATTTAGAACCACGTAGATAGGTCTCAATTCAGGAAAGTGGAGACTGCGGCTATGAAGCACGGCAGGTTTAGTCCTCCCGCCTCCATCTGCCTGGGCTAGCCAGTCTCTCCAGCAATTGTCAAGAGATTTCTTATATAGCCATGATTGCATATTTGCACAGCTTTGCTATAGGAAGCCTGCATCTGTGTTCTTACCCAAAAGATGGGGGGAAGGACTATTGCTGGTCCAACTGCCTTGTAAAACCCAGTCATGCTGGGGATCTGCACTCCGAGCCGAGCGCTCTGTGCTGCTTGTGAAGCCTCTGGGGCAGCCAAAGGCCGTGTGGTATGCTTTTTGTGAACATCTTCAGACCATACAACTCTGGGGTCTGTTTGCAAGTTCCTTATTCATAAAATGATCAGCTTCTTGAAGCCTCGAATGCCAAGACACTCTTCAATGGGCCCGGCCAAGCCTTGATATTTCAGCTGCAAGGGCTGCAAATTCCACTGGATGCTTGCTCTTTAAGAGGGTCAGTGCCTGCCACCATCACTGAGAATGTCATTTTGGAGTTTTACTCATTTACCAATTTAATCCTCCTAGAAGTCATGTCCTAATAAATGAAGAGAGATCCCCAGTGGTTCTATCTCTGTCTGGCTTCTTACGCTTTTTGAATCTCAGCATATAAATGGTAATACTGGCATAGAAATTAATGGAACTGATAAAACCAGGGTCTCCGCTAACATAGTTGGAACTTATCAAATGGTAACTAATACAACCGCACTACCTTTGTTACTGTGTTTCCTGCTAAAAGTTGTTTTATCTTCCAGAATGTAAGCACAGAGAAGAGTGTTGACAGGGTCTTTTCTCCTCCAGCTGCCTCGGCTTCTATCCTCTGCCCTCCCTCAGTTCCCATCGGTGGCAAGTTGGCTCTGTGATGGACGTTTTATCCTGCCTTTCACATTGGCGGTCAGAATTAAGGTCAAACAATTGCATAGGATCTGTAAAGAGGAGAGTAGTAGGTGTTTCTAAAGTACAGGAGCGGGGAGAGGCCTTCTGCTGCCAGCCTCCAGCCCAGCCAGTCTCTGGCATCTTTCCCACCCAGCAAAGATGTTCCGCAGGCTGTTCTGTCTCTCCTCTCCCACCCATCCCTGTCGTTGGCACAGTGTGGAGACCACTGGAGACCAAGAACTTCACAGATTCAAGGTCCCAGGGGTATGCCCCAGACTAGAATTCATTATTTTTGTTTTATTGCATACACTGGAAGGACAGTGTTTCTCAAAACAATGGTTTACCTGACTGAAATACTACAAGATGCTAGAAAAGAGAAATCTCTTTTGACAGCCCCTATGGGCTGAGTGATGTACTCGGGCCTCCAGCTGCAGAGCTCTGGAGGGTGTCTCTGGGCGTGGCCTCCGGCCTGTAGAGCTACAAAAGTTAGCTGGTATGGCGGCTGTCTCCTAAAATCTGCTCACTGAGAAGAAAAAGAACTGTGCAGCCCTCCTACCAGCATAGGGAAGCAGAGAAGGATTTGCCGGTAATTTTCAGACACAGGAACTATTTGAATACAGACTACCCTCAAATCCCCCCAGTACTCACTCCCACCTACTCACAAAGGAAATGAGTCCTTGGAATTCACAGTCCCGAGAGTCTCTCTCTCTGTAGCTCTTAGGAGGAAGAGGTTCAGAATTCGTCTTGGTTTTATCTGACTCTTCTTCAGTTCTTTTTCTTAGCTGAAGTAGAAGCTGAAGGCATCTCATTTTCTACCTGCCATTCTCAGGACTGGGGTCCTGGGAACCCACAAATCAGATAAAGGAGAAAGTGGATAATCTGCTCCCATCTTACTTCCTGCCAGTGTGGCTTCTGTCTTTGAAGTTTGTGGCTCATAGTGCGGTGGTTTGTGTGTCTGTGTTTTCAGTGTACCAGCATAAGCACATTCCTTCCGTAAGGGATTAAATGCAAACTCTTTCCCAGGCTAATGATGGAATAGTAGTGGTGCTTTTATTGATAGCGTGCATTTTAACTTTTTTGTTGGCACATTTTTAATTAAAATAACATTTAACGGTTTGCAGCTAAAAACCTGATGTTTCTGCCTAGGAGTTTATAAGGGAATGATAACATATGGAGAAGTTTAACATTTAAATTGAATTTTATTATTTAAAACAGTAAAATATTTTATGACTACAACAATGCCCTGCCAAGCTCCATCTCAGCATCAAATGTGCTTTGTAAGGAGGCTTACAAGGCTAGGGAAAAAAGACACTTTAATTTCTTATTCTCCAAATGCTTTTTATAAAAAGTTCTGCAAATGTGTTTTCTTTACAAATGAATTCTTGTTCTCTTCTGCATCTTCAAACATCTCTTAACTGCACCAAAAAAAGCACAACAAAGCCTGAGACCAGGATGCCCCGGGGTCCTTGCTGATAACGCAATGCCTCCCGACTTGATTTTGGTGCTGCTGGTCCAAGGCCTTCCACGGGCCCCTGCAGTCTCCCCCGCCCCCTCCCCTAGCCCCTCCCCACTCTTCAAAATGCTCAAGTCTGGCAGGAAGTCAGGGTTTATCTCTTTCACTTATGAGTATGCTTAATTACCAAGGACAGGAAGCCTGCTAGGCGGCCTTCCTTCCTGGCCCTGTGGTGCCCCTGGAAGCAGGCTCCTGATCCGTGCAGCGATGGACAGGAGACCTCCTTCCTGGCCTCCAGAGCCTGGGAGGCACAGGCCTGCATGCCAGGCTGAATTTCCAAGCATGGCGTGGGCTTATGCATAAACTTGGATGAATTCCTTCAGCTTTACCCACATCAACATGAAAATGACAGCCACCCCCACCCAGAGAGGAAGGGCATTCTGAAGACAGGCTTCCTCTAGGTAGAAGGGTCCTCTTCCTCCTCTTCCCTACCCACCCCTGCTCCTGGCACAAGCCTTCATCCACCTGTCTGGCCACAGGTCTGGAATTTGGTTTCCAGTTTCTACATAAGCCAGTAAACTCTTAAAATACCTTTCTGCACTGGCATCCCGCTTCTCTCTGCTGGGAGAATCATTCCAAGCTGGAAACTCAGTAACAACACCTCACCCCCTCTGTCCTTCCTATTTTACCATGCAGCTCTTTACACGCACACTCACCAAATCACACAGTTATTCTCATGTGACTGCAAATGATTATTTTTAGGATCAAAACATATCTTAACAAGCTGTGGAATTATGCAGTAAACAGATGGCCCTCAGGGAGGACCCATCGTGCTTTGGAAGAATGCATATTTTTAGCAGAACAATTTGAGCATCACTAGGGGATAAAAAAGAGCTCTGGACCTTCCTCCCATGGGGGGCGTGGGCCAGGATGGGGGAGAGGGCTGCTGGCTGCACAGTATTGCCAAGGAGTGAGGGTCTGAGCGTAGTCCCGTGTCCCTTGTGGCTGACCAAGACGCTTTGTCTTCCCTCCCCTGTGTCTCCTCGGTAGGAAAGCCCAGTAGTTTCTTTCCAGAGGACAGTTTTATAGACTCTGGAGAAATCGACGTGGGGAGACGGGCTTCGCAGAAGATTCCGCCTGGCACCTTCTGGAGATCGCAGGTGTTTATAGACCACCCTGTGCATCTGAAGTTCAACGTGTCTCTGGGAAAGGCAGCCCTGGTTGGCATTTACGGCAGAAAAGGCTTCCCTCCTTCACACACTCAGGTAACCAGAAAGGGCTTCCCTTCCTCACTCAGCTGACCAGAAAGTGCTTCTCTCCCTCACACACTCAGGTGACCAGAAAGGACTTCCCTCCCTCACACATTCAGGTGACCTGATCTGCACACCTGTTGACCTGTGGGCACCTGCTCAAATCTCTTAGCCCAAGTCAAGAAACCCCACCCAGATCCTCTAGCCTGAAAGGAATACTCCAGGTTTTATAGGTCATTCATTTGCTTGCCTGCTCCTAGGCCCTGCCTTTCAGAGCAGGAAGGTGAAGTCCCAGGGGCTCATTAAGAGAAAGGAACTCTGAAATTTCTTAAATAGCCATGCTGCTATTACTTGATCTCCTAAAGCTAAATGATCCCAGAGATGTGATCTAGAGAAAAGTCATGTGCTGAGCTTGAGCCTTCATCTCATCCTGTGTAAGCTTGTGTCTGTTACTCTTCCTTTCTGAGAGAATATCCTAATCTATAAAATCAGGACAGCCATACCTCCTTTGCAGGGCTATTGTGAAGAATGAAGAATAACATTTGCAAGGCAGCTAGAGTAGGACTCGGCCCAAAGCAGGTGCTGCTTGTAGTCTGGCACCTTGCTTCTGTCCTTCCACATCACACATTTACTCAACAAGTGTGTACCATAAGCGCAAAGAATTTGCCCATGTGGATGGACAGCTCAGTGGTAGAGCATGTGCTTAGCATGTGTGAGACACTCTTCCATTCCAGCAGCAAGCATAGATACATATAGATACACACATACATACACACACACATATACTTGTCCAAGATGATTGACCTGTCACTAGTCATAAATGACAAGACTTTATTCATGGTCTTATTGGTAAGACCAGGGCAATGGTGAACTCCAGGCAGGTGCTCTCTTCCAAGCTCTGGGAGCCAACTCAGATTTCTGACTAACAGCTGGGTGCCTGTACCTTCTGAGGACAGAGCCACAGAGAAGTAGAGGGGCCTGGGCCCTAGCTGGCATGGTGCTCTTCACTTGCACCCAGATGTTTTTACATGATGTTGAATGAACAGATCTATCTTCTATGTGCTTCTTAAAGAGCCATCAAGCTAGACTACTACCTGGAGTAGGCCGGGAGGACTTACACACCTAGCTCTTGTTGACGCTGCTTGACACCCTTCTCTGGAGCCCCACGCTAGTAGTTTCAGATCTTGGCACAGCGTGTAATTACTGATAAGAGTTCTGGACTAATCCAGTTTACCTCTCCTAAAATTGCTTCCTGAAACTGGAGATTTTAGAAAGGATCACTGACAAAAGACGAATAGGCATCAGCCAAACCTTTGTGTACTCACGAGTGATACTGTGTTCTTGTTCAGTGCCTCAGTTCAGCTCTAGGCTCTGAAGCTCCTGTTGTAGCTTGCGTGGGGCTGGCTCGTTAACCACAAGGCCACCACCGAGAAGGCATGGTTGTCCTGGCACATGCAGCTGGATGCAGACTCACCATGCATACAGAAGGAAAGACAAACGAGACTAGAAAATAACCCATGATTATGCCTGCTCACAAGAGAGTCAGAGAACATCATCATAGAAAAAAATGAGTTCTAGGGAAGTTTGTGCTGGCTGACCAGCACCCCCCCAACTCCTGTGTCTTCCCGAGGCAAGCCCAGAGAAGGAATGTGGTGGTGGTAGAGCAGATCCACTCCTAATGACCCTCTCTTTCTGCCTTAGTTTGACTTCGTGGAGCTGCTAGATGGAAGGAGGCTCCTGACCCAGGAGGCGCGGGGCCTGGAAGGATCCCAGCGCCAGCCCCGGGGTGGCACGCCCCCGTCCAGCCACGAGACCGGTTTTATCCAGTATCTGGATTCGGGCATCTGGCACCTGGCCTTTTACAATGATGGGAAGGAGTCTGAGGTGGTTTCTTTTCTCACCACTGCCATTGGTAAGAAGCTCTGGGTGGGAGGGTACAGGGGACTCTGGGCCTTGACGCTTTCAAGGCACTGTGTCTTGCTGAGAGCCATTGGTGCCACCCTGGCATGGAGCGAGGCCACCCCTGCTGAGCCTGCTGGCAGGAGGCAGGCCTGCGATGCCAGGCGGGGAGGCTGTCCTTTCTCCTACCATCTGTGCAGCGATATGTGGACCTGTGGCTGGCTCTCTAGCCTGGGAGTGGGCTGACGAGGCGGATATCCTGGCTGACAAGCACTGTGCAGGCGGTGTCACACTTGGCGTCTGCCCTCCAACCTCCGTGCTCCTTATCCTGAGGGTCTCACTTGGTTCAACTCACTGATTTGTTATTTGGGTTTGGTTTGGGGTTTGCTTGTTTGGTTTTGCTGCTTTTGGTGCCAACAACCCTTGGCGGAAAATTTTTTAGAAAGGACCAAAAAAAGGCTTGAGGGTGAGTCGCACAGCAGGGGGCTGGGTGAGCAGTGCCACCCATCAGCTTGGGGTCTTCTTGAGACAGTCTTTTCTTGGGCAGAGTGCAAGCCCTGGGGTCTTAATGAGACTGAACACAATCACTGTCCCTGCAGTGGCAAAGAGCCATGGCCACTTGGGAAGCCTGTCGATGTCTTGGTAGCTTGGCCACCTGTTGGAAGAATTTCTTTCTTTATCAACACGTGCCACAGAACACATGTCCTCCTGAGATGACCACAGTGTGCCGGAGGACATGACAGTCTTGGTAGCCTGGGTTAGAAACATGCTTCCTGAGTTTGCATTGGAAACACTGAGACAAAGCCTAGAGAAATCCCCTAAGAGAAGTAAAACCTACAGAAAAACACGAGTCCACAAACCAGAGCGCTTGGGAATGGAGTTTCTACCTAATGAAAAGCTGTATGTGGTTTAGAGTTCACCTGTGTGGAATATGTGCGTCTCTGTCCTCAGCTGGGAGTCTTTGAAAAGTGGGCTTTAGAGAAAATCTCTTACTTTGGCTACTCCTTGCAAGACTGGTTCTTCCCCGTACACAGCAGTTGCCCTTGTCAAGCCTTTGGGCCCACATCACAGTGCTGTCCTTGGTACTAGGGACATGGGTGAGAAGCTTCTGCTATCATTTAGCCTCCAGACACCGCCCTTGTGACAAAGGGAAAGAGGCGGGGCCAGCACAGGCCACTCAGGTGAAGGAAACATCTGTTCCTTGTGCTGTCCCTGTTCAGGAAGTGTCACTCCTGGCCACCGGACTCTGAGTGCCTAGAGGGAGGAGCTGCTGGTAGCCCATATGTCCCCAGCACCCTTCCTAGCCCCAGCATGCACTGACCTCCAGGTGGTAAAAGAAGGGGCTGCGTGCAGCCTGGCCCGTCGCACAGGTTCCGTCCTGAATCTCTATCATGAAGTTGGATTTTAATCACCCAAATCACTGGAGCTTTCCAGGTGGTGGGTTTTTCAGGCTTCTGGAAGTCAGGCTGTGGCTCAGTGGCTCCTGCTAATACTGAGACAGGTCCCCAGCGCACCCCCTCAGCAGAGGCCCAGTTCTGCCACTCTCCACCAAGTAGCTGTTGCTTTGCTGGATTTCCTGGGCCATGGTTCCTGTGTCTCCTCTCTTTCTAGACAGGGTGGCTTCACTTTAAGCACAAAGTTATCGCGTCACGGTGGTGCTTCTCGATCCTGCTGTCTGACTCCTACGCACGCTTCACAGGGAAGCACAGAGCTAAGGGCTCTTACACTCAAGACTTCCGTTTTAATAACTGAGTATAAATATGAAACGTTATTAATTGAAGCCCCAAAGAAAACCAGTTTTAATTAGGATGTACATCTTAGAGAAATAATGTGGGGGTACAGTGAGGCACCCTTGCCAACTCGTGCTTGTCGCAGTTTGATGCTTTATTGTAACTAGGAAGGTGGTCTGGCTTTCCTCCCGGCTCCTGTGTTCCCAGCTAAGGGGTGAAACCTGTGTGCACTTCTCTGTAACCCTCCATGACTGTTCAAACAGAAAGGCTTTCCTGTGCTTCTCAGTGACCAGTGTATATAGGAAACGCTGCGGGTCTTGTTAAATGGCAGGTCCTGCTCCAGCAGGTCTGAGGGGCTGACATTGTGCTTTTCTGACCAGCATCTGGTGATACTTGAGTTCACATTTTGAGTATCAAAAGATTGTGACACTTCCTGGGTGGTTCTCGAACACCACTGAATGAAGGGTGACTGGGAGGCAGGTAGAAATCCCAATGCTTGGGCCCTTCTTCAGAAATTCTGACCCAGCGGACCGGTCTTGGAGCTGACATGACCCTCAGCTCGTCTGTCCACAAAGACCTGAAAGATGTCCTCCAAGGCCTCTCCCTTCTTCCCTACTCTCTTGCGGAGTGTTGCTCAGCCATGAGCAGTCCTGTCACCTCTCAGCACTGCTTTTTCTTTCCTTTTGCTTTCCTCTTGTTTGCTTTGGGCCAAGAAAATGAAAAGTAGACCATCCCCGCTGAGGAGATTAGAGAAAGAAACAGGGCCTGGCAGGGCTTGGGCGCCACAGGCACCGTGCAGAAGCAGTTGGCATTCTCCACCCTCCTCTTTCTCCTTCCCCTTTCCTCTGCTGCCTTTCTGACCTGTCTCCCTTCAAGCTACGGTGATTGTTCAATGAACACTGGGGTTTTATTTTTTAATACAAAAACAGACTGATTCTGATGTTGCTATTAATCCCTCCTCCCTAAGAGTCCCTGGCTTTGAGTCTCAGCTGCCTGTGATCATTACCTGTGAGCTGTGAGTTGTAATTTGTCTTGGCAGGTTAATTAAAAGTTTAGGTCTTGTTTTAGTGAAGTCATTATGGTCCCAATATACAATTGTAGCTCTCCGGTTTGCTTCACACACAAATTGGAATATGACCCTGCCTTCGTTACATGTCAAAATGCAGATCGAGACTTTAGAAAGATCTGAGATGTCAGAGTCCAGAGTATTTATGTCTGCTTGTAATTAGGTAACAAGAGAAATAGTTGTGTTTAATGTAATGAATGGCTGTATTGTATATGTTTTTGCTTTTCCCTTCATTTAATGCAATCCAGCTGATGACTTTAAATTAAACGAGTTTATCTTTTGCCTTGGAAAAAAACCCAAGAGCACTTTACAGACTGCACACACAAATACATCCATGCAGAGGCTTGAGGTTGACAGCATGCCCACTGAGCTGGATTTGTGCTTGCGGAGTTCAGTTGACTCCCCCAAGTTAAGAGCAAGGCCCCGGGCGGAAGCCCGACTTCTCGGCCCACAAGGCCGCCACTGTGCCACGGAGTCTTGTTATTTCTCACAGTTACTGTTCTGTGTCGGATTCCTGTTTGTGTTGCATGCTGCGCAATTTCCCCCTTGTTAACTTGCATCCAGTTATGAGTAACGTCTTGCATAAAGCCAGGAGGTCTTGAGGAGTCATTATAAAAGCCCCAATGAAAATCTCACAGCAGCTGAAACTTTAAAAATAAGAATACCTTTGCTTGAATCTCTCGCTACCTCAGGGCTGAATGAGCTGGCACTGCAGCATTTGGGTCTGCAGAGAGCATCTCGTCCTTTTCTTTTGGTCGATGCTGAAGCATAAAGGACAGATCAACCTGATACTGCAGCAACCTGAGCCGAGCTGGAAAGTAACACAGGTGCCCTGCGGCACGCTCAGAGACCCAGAGAATGAAATGAGAGTCACGGTTGGAAAGCACAGGCAGAGGTTTTATGAGAAGCATACTCTGCCTTCCTGGTTAATTGCAAAGAAGAGCACCCACTGGAGGGGTCTCTTGTGGGGCTGAGGACTGGACGCGGGCTTGGCTCCTTCCCTCCTATGCTCATTCTTCCTCCCTTCTGTCCCATATCCACCAGACATCGAGTCCTTGCCCCTTTCCCGGCTGAGGATGCAGGGAAGGTGCGGTGCGGCTCCTGGCAGAAGTGGCTCGGGATCTAAATTGTGGGAGGTGGACACTTGTGCAGTGAACGCTGCGAAGTCGAGGAAAACAGCGAGAAAGGCTGCTCCTGAGCCACCGGTGAGAGGGCCGGAAGGCGGAAGGGTGGGCTTGCTGGCCGGGCCAGGAGGGCTACCAGCACCACAGAAGGCATTCTGGGGAGCAGGGGTGCGCGCATAGGATGGTAATGGCAGGCGTGAGCCGCCAGACCGCAGGAAGAACCTGGAGATGGAAGTGAGCTGTGGGGAGGCTGTTAGTTCGTCCAGGCAAGGAAGCCTATCCACCAGTATTCGGAGTTCCAGTAGGCATGAGGGCCGGGAGTGACCAGGCAGAAGGTTGTTCTTCTGCGGCCCAGAGCAGAGGCCGCTTGTCTCTGTGGTCAGAGGAGGTTTTTGGGATCAAGCTTTGTGATTTCATGGAGGAAAAGAAAAGGAGGGGAGGAGGCACAGGGAGGCAGAAGGGCTCGGAGCATGCTTTGTGGGCTCCCCTTTGCTCTCCCATGGCATGTCCCCTTTGCTTTCCCATCACATGTCCCCTTTGCTACCCGATGCCTCGACTCTTGAACAAAGTTTCCATCCTCCTAGGGTCTTCAAAGTTGGGTCCTTGATGTTTTTTCCAAGGACAATAGACTGCAGTGTATCCATATTTCCCTAGTTTTTTTTTTAATTCTTATTTATTTATGTAGTACAGGGTCTTACTACACAGCTCAGACTCGTAGTGATCCTGCTGTCTCAGCCTCCCCAGCACTGGGATTACAGGCATGCACCACCATGCCCGGTTTCAGTAGCCAGATGGTATGGGGTACCTGGGATTAAACCCTGGTCCTTGTGCTTGCCAGGCAGCCTCTTAGCCTGCCGAGTTATCTCTCCAGCCTGTGCAGTTTTGATTGAAATTTCTCCTGTGAGTGTATTTGCAAGAATTCACGGAGAAAAATCCTTGCCCTTATATACTGTAATTTCTGTAAAAAGCAAGAAGCTAAGAAAAGTGGCTGGGGACTCTTGGTTTTTATTTTTTATTTATTTATGTATGTATTTATGTTTGTATTTATTTATTTTGGCGGAACCGGGGATTGAACTCAGGCCCTCACGCTTGC